TTTTCTTTTAGGTTAAAGGTATAATTAATATATTTTTTAATTATTATTTTTAATCTCAAAATAATTGTTATTATTTGATTTTAATTTTTTTTGAATTAATTGTTATTCTTTTATTTTTATGGGTGGACCGTGGATAAATATTTTTTTATTTTAATTCTATCATTATTTATTTATTTTGATTAATTATCATATTATAAACAAATTTTATTTAAATTTTTAATTTTTTCTTAAAAATAATATAGATAAAGACATAGATTATTTCAAATCCTTAATTTTAAAAAAGTAAAAAAAATAAAAGTTACTTTAAAATGAAGAAAATAATTTATATTACCTAAAAAGCAAAAAAATTATTATTAATATTATTTATTTATTTATTTATTAAAATTAGAATTAAATTTTTTTATATATAATTTAATATCTGAAAAATATATTAATTACTTGAAAGTCAAAGGTTGGCTACAAAAACTCTCCATCCTATCATCTTTCTCTTTTTATCAGATGATAACTATGCCGAGTTGGCACCACCACCTATTCCACCACGTGTGGAAAACAAACAAAAGCGACTCTGGTTCCCCAATCAGATTTGGCAAAACCCTGGTTTAGCCCTCCATCTTACCAAGTTTGAAGGTTTTAACCCCTCATCTTATATTATAACACTTTTAACCATTTATTTTACTAAATTTGGAAGTTTTAACTCGTCACTTATTAAAATCGAAAAAAATAACCTATCACTTTATATTGACTGTTAAATCTGTTAATTGAAAGTATATTTTTGTCAACTAACAGTTAATTAATAGTTAGTTAATAGAACTAACGAAATATTATAAAATTAATGTTCTTAACTCTGTTAGCTGAAAAAAAAATTTTCTCAGTTAATAGTCAACTAACAGTTAAATAATAGAGTTAATAGTCAATTAACAGAACTAACAAAATGTTACAAAGTGATGGTTATTTTTTTTTCAATTTTAATAAATGAGAAGTTAAAAATGTTATAATATAAGATGAAAGGGTTAAAACTTCTAAATCTAGTAAGATATAGGTTAAAATATCATAATATAAAGTAAATAGTTAAAACATTTAAATTTGATAAGTTAAGAGGCTAAAAGTAAGCTTTTGTCATCAGATTTCTTGTAGTCCTCTCATAACAAGGGTGTACACCGCGCCTGCCCCACACCTAACTCGAGCGAGTGGCTCGCAACATCCAGCCAGTCACAACTCATCCACACACCCCAGCCTGGTTAGGAGGTTGGGTGGGGGCGCGCCAGGCCAGCCAGTCACCCCATTTTCCGCTTATCACCAAACCCTTTAAGTGCCCGTTTGGTTTGGTGTAATTAGAATTTTTAATAAAAGTCTTATTAAAAAGAAGTTATTGTAGAAATATTATTTTTATAAATAAAAAAATAATAATGTGTTAATTTTATTAAAATTTAAATGAAAAACTCTTACAGAAACATCAATTTAGTACTTCTAAGATTTATAATAAAATAAAAAAAATAACTTATGAGAAGTTATAATTTTGTTTATTAATTGTAATATTTAGTGTAACTTATGCTTTTGAAGT